CAGCCCCTTCAACATCGACTCCAAGACCCGCCATGTAGACTTAAAAAATCAACTATTATATCAACTCTTCTATTTCCTATTTTAAGTACTTCTCTTTCATATACTTAATAATATTTAATAAACTTTTCTCATATTTACCCGACTTTCGTTGTATACCATATGATTTTCGACTCGGAGTTGAAGGACGCGAATATGAAAGTCATTTCTGGACGAGTTATATTCCGCTATGTACGGCGTACTAGAAAATGGTAGGGGGCAAGGTAGCACAGCCGCATGTCTGTCTACTTCAGAGCAATCTGGTTAGATTAATATCGGGCCCCTTCGCAAAGCGGCTAATCCACCTTTTCGTCTATGTCGCCATATGTCGCCATGGCGATAAAGGCGCTATATCGACAAAGCGGACAGAAGCGATATAGCGGCGACATATGTATGTCGACATGGCGATATAGAGGCTATATTGCCGTGGATATAGCCTGTTATTAGGGGTATAAATTCCTGCTGCAGGGCGTAAAAATAAGGATTAAGGGGTATGATTTCTAAACGAAGAGACAGCAGCGGTATAGTGGACATAAGCTTGCCTGTTTGATTATATTGAATAGCAGAGAGGAAACGGCATCCGACATTCTTCGGCCGAAAATCATATGAAAAATAATATATGAGTGTTGAACGGCCAGTCCTAGTCGCGGGAGGCGTTCAGATCTGTCGCTTTTTCTATCGGCTGTTGCGTAAGTTCTTCAAATAAACCGGAATGAGAGCAGTGGCATCGCCATAGGTGAACCGGTGTTAGAGGCGTTCTGATAAAATCTTCTGCAAGGCTCTACCGCACGCCATGAATTTATTTAAATCTGCCAAAACCCTTTATAAATTAATCCTACCTGGTGGATTTTAGAGAGATCTTAATTTACTCAGCCAGGTTACTGGAGCAGAATTAGTGGAAGCCATATGCTGCAGCACGATTGGCAGCTAAATGCATGCCATTGCGCTGATAAGGATGTTAAAACTTAACGGTTAAAACACCCCTGTGTGTGGTCCACGCAAGATTTTAATTTTCCGGTAGGGAATGCGTGTCAACTATGTGCTGATACTTTACTATTGATCGGGGAGAACTTTTCTTATCAGTCATCTCTCCTGATCCGGGTTATCCTTATGTGCTTGCTATGTATTACCTATTCCTACGGCGAAATGAGGTCGTAACCCTTGGTAGGCTGTGTGGGACCCTATTTTATTTACACTCATTGGGTCTTTCGCAAGAATGATACCCATAGAAATCTTCCTTGTGTGTTCTTTGCTCCTCATGGGAAAATGAACAGACGCATATCAGCACACGACGACAACTCGACTGTCGACTTTGACGAATTTCGCAGCGTGCTCCAAGGCATCATGGTGCATGGATAGTGATGTGCGTGTAAATAAGTTTTGTGTGATCGTAGAAATGCACAGCATCTACGGCACTCGCTTTTCCCTCGAAGACCTTGGCCCGATAACAAGCCGGAGTCAAGAATATCGGAGGCTGGATATGGCGCTTTGGATCTTGCTCGTGCGGCGTGAGGCTGCACATACGTGCATCACGTACACGACCCGACAGCCAAAAGCCAAGCAACCAGAATTCATAAAAAGGATACGATACGCAACAGAAGCCTATAATATGCAATCAGGTCATATCCTGACTTTAAAATGTAGGCAGCCGGACTGCAGCCGGACTGCAGCCGGACTGCAGGCGATTGCTAAGATATGGAGATGTGGTACAGATTACATCTGTCGCGTTTATTTCTTCACAGATGACCAAATTATGATGGGAAGGTATTTTTGCACGTGTACTGCAATTTGCATGCTATTTACCGAGTAAGGCAGTCATAAACAGCAATACGATTTTTATCTCGACGGTCAGAAAAGATCAGAGTGTAGAAAACACTCATACGGAGAAAAAAGCAGGTGAAGTCGCTGCGACACGAAGTTTGTTCGAAGTCCGTTGCGGATCTACCATCTGAGACAATAGCATTAAGAAGCAGAAAATAATTGAGGCTATGGTTGTTTTGTTGATGTTTTAACTCAGCTAAACGGGCTACAATAAGTTCAGTTCACCTCGATCCTCCAAAGGAAAGTGTGTTCTTTTGAAAACTACCTGTGTTGCTGACAGGGAAAATTGTAGTTTAGAGAAGACTTTGCAGTCTGAAATATCGCAAGGAGTTCTGTTCTCGATGCGGACGTTCTCGCCGCTTTCGACCTTATTGGCAATTGCCATCACTCCGGTCCATTTTGCTCTAAGAGACTTGGATAAGTGTTGCCGTGCGTACGTGTGTGCCTTTATTGACTACTTCTCAGGCTTTAATACTATCCCACGCCATCTCTTCCTTAATAAAACGACTAATTTCCCGGCCGGGCTATCTCTTGGCTTGCGGACC